GGCCGCTGTGAGAGTGGCGTTCCTTCGAGACCACGGCTCCCCACAGTTGAAAATCGTCAACAGGTTCTCCAGAGTCTCCTTAACGTGACGAGAACCAATCACCAACTTGGCCAGGAACACTGAGGAGGGACAGAGAAGAACGGGCCATAATAGCAGTGGAACCTCCGATAGGGGGACCCTCGAGATAAGGGACGACCCTCTCTACAACGACCACTCGTTTAAAACCACATGCTAAGACTTAGTGTGATAGGGATGGCCTCTCTAAAGGACACTGTTTCAAACCCGCTAATACTTTATGTATTAATTTTGACTTCGGCGATAGGGATGCCTCTCTGCCAAGGGACATTAATAATTGGGCCCAAATTTCCCTCCTCGGAGGTTCCACTGTGTGGACTCCTTTCCTTTCTCTGCTAAGGTCTTCTAATGTACTGTATATATACATTTTGAAAGCCACAAGCGATTCAAACCGATCAATATGTATGTAGGACTCCGTGTACATTCTTTGAAAAAGCCACGAGCAATTCTACGTATGTATGTGTCAACAAACAAAAAGTGAGGTGGGGTAGATAGATTAGAAAGGCCAAAGGCAAACAAATCAAACCAAGCTCTTTTTTCCAAGGAGAAAAAAAGAAGAGCTGCCCTAGGTTGGATTCGAACCCACGACACTCTGCAGTCTAGGTGAGCACTCTACCAACTGAGCCACCAGGCCAACTCAGCTGGTAGGGGTTTAAACAAACATACATACTGGTGGGGTTCAAATCTTCAACACAAAGGCAAGGTGTACAGTACGCTTGCTTGGGTGGATCAGTTGCAGTATTGTACGAATACGTATGTAATGTGCGCGCATAGCTCTCGGCCCAGACAGATCTTATCTTCACATTCACACACTTTTTTTCAGTGGCGGATCTAGGATTTTGATTTGAAAGTACTGCTGTCCAAGAACGTTTGACTGCGCTCATGCACGTGCACGAGGCCGGCGACGCATGCGTGCAAAACGATAAAAAGGGGAGTTTCGCGGAACCCAAGGAACCCCCCTTGATCCGCCACTGTTTTTTTTTTTTGCATATCAGGGCACGTTGCAAATCATATACTGAACATACCTGCTTTCTCCAACAGGTTTCTTGAGTTTCTCGATGAGTCTGTGTCCCTCAGTACGAGTGGTGTTGTACATGAGCTGGTATCTCACCTGCAGGGCCTTGTGCTGTGACCCGTGACTCTTTACATCAGCCTGTACTGGACGGTACCAGTCCTGAGGAGCAGGCCTCACTCCACACATCTATATGGAGGAAGAACTGGAGGGAGGAGGGGGAGAGGAGGGGATGAGAGGAGTGGGTGAGGAGGGCGATGGAGTGTGTAGCGAGTAAGGGGTCGCCGAACGAGGAGGCTGAGGGTGATAGAGAGGAGAGAGAGAGAGAGAGAGAGAGGGAAAAGGATAAAAGAGAGAAAGGGGGAGAGGAAAGGAGATAGGAGAACCGAGGAAGGGAGAGAAGGAGGAAAGAAGAGATGAATAAGTGGAGTGAGGTTAAAAACTTGGAGGTACATATACAGGTATATATGTGTATGTGTAAGGAGGAATGGCAATAAAGCACGTGGAGCTCTTCGTGAAACATACAGTAAAGAGTAGCCGAATAACAAAATATCTGCATGCTCACCTTCTGTTGCCAGTCGTGGAAGACGACGGAGAGCTCAAACATGTTGTTTCTGTCCTCCACGATCCTGGAGAACCTCTCCCAGCTGGTCCTCAGCTTCTTGTTGCCCACTTGCATCACGTCCAGGGCATAGTGTCGTGAGCCTACGAGTCTCTCTCCTACTGTTATGACCCTACTGATCTCCTGGTACTGACCCTGGTGGGGGGAGGGAGGGGGGGAGGGAGGGGGTTAAAAGAGGGGGAGTGGGGTAAGGTGGAGGAGAGGTTGTGTAGGGGTGTATGTGGTTATGACTCTACTGATCTCCTGGTACTGACTCTGGTAGGGAGGGAGGTGTGGGTTAAATGGTTGAGTAAAGAATGGTAAGGGAGGAAAAATGAAAGTGGTGAAGGATGAAGGGAGAGAGAGTGGTGAGGGATGAAGGGATGAAGGGAGAGAGAGTGGTGAGGGAAGAAGGGAGAGAGAGTGGTGAAGGATGAAGGGAGAGAGAGTGGTGAGGGAGGAAGGGAGAGAGAGTGGTGAAGGATGAAGGGAGAGAGAGTGGTGAGGGAGGAAGACAAGTAGGGAGTTAAATAGAGGTGAGAAAGAGAAGTGAAGGAGAGTGAATTGAGGGCCAAAGGTGAGTTAGTATAGTGGCATGAAAGAGAGCTAAGGCACATTCCTGAAGAAGGGAGGGAAAAGGAGGGAGAGAAGAAGTGATCAGGACGAGTGTGAGGAAGGGAGGAAGACACCAGCAGAGAGCCGAGAACCAGAAGTGTTTGAGAGAAAGGGTATCAGGTAAGTAAACCTGGCGAAGGGATAGAAAAGGGGAAAGAACGAGATAGACAGGGAGGACGGTGTGTTACATGTAGTTTGGACTAACAGAAATTTGTGATTGGAAGTTGTGGAAGGCCTGTTTGTTGATCTCTGCAGAGCTGAGAGAGTCTCCAATGTCTGTGTGGTCGTCGGAGAGACTCTGAGCCGTCGTCTCAATCCACTGCATCATCTGGTGGGACGGGGAATCAGTGAGAGGGAGGAATTACAGGTGGTGTGTCGTGCTTGGCCTGGCGTTGCGCTAGAATATTAGCAGTACTCGGCAGTGGAACTCAATGATTACGGCGAAACGCACACTTACATATAGGCAAGATACCGGATATGGGAATGCAATAATGAAATCAATCAGTCTGAGTCATTATGATAGTCATTACAGTGGTGTATCGACTGAATAGCTTTTCTGTATTTTGTTGAATGTGTAGAGGCACTTTCCATAGTATAATGCAAGAATTTCACACCCTGTTTGCTCGCCAACAATGTGTTGCATCTGTTACCGAATATCATGAATCATTAGTATTCATGTACAATTTTAGTGAATACAATAATTAGGCACTTTGTCAAAAATGGCTGTGGCACTAAGGCACATTCACAAGTAAACGTATGTAGCTACAATGCAGACTATTGCTGACGGTAGAGATGTAATACCACGACTGCAGCTGGCCTGCAGGTAGTGCCACAGACCTGTGCAGAGTCATGTTCGTATTTCCGCAGCTGGACCACCTGGTCCAACTTGGCCCCCTTCTCGTCCCACATCCTCTGCAGCTGGACTTGCATGGACAGCAGACACGAACACATCTCCTCCAGTCGACCAAAACATGCTGAGTCACACATCACACACACACACACACATGTAACAACAGGCTCCAGACAGTGAATCAATGTATGCATACCTTAGACCAATTTGCATATTAATCGTCGTGTTTTTAGAATATTAAGAGGCCCAATGGTAGTGTACACAAATCCATTTTGTGGTCTTGGCCTCTTTTCACACATGCAGTAGTGTTAGGATTGTTTAAACCAAGTAGTAAGCTAGTTGTGTGTATATTAGTAGGTATATACAGTGTATTTTGTCTTTGGTATTTGATTTGGAGATATCTTTCTCTTTCCTTGATGCATACACACATGGTCATACTCAGGCAACCAAGGAGGTAATTAGGTTGAAGAGTGTCCACGTGGTATAGCGTGATAAAGATGCTCACCGTTGAAGTCGGGATTGGAGCAGGGACGCAGCTGGGCGATGGCATGGCTGACTGCCTCACATTCACAGTCAAGATCCTCCTGTGCACACAACAGCCATATACCATAGTCACACGATCCACACTCTCCTCAACAGCTAACCTCAACCTTGAGTCAAGGCTAAACCAAACACTACTACAGCTACTCTCATCATACGAAACAAAACAGGTTGCAATTGGTTCCTCGTGTAACTTTTATCTAGATTACATCATCATTATCTCATCTAACCATGACGCTGATTGTTTAGCTATTCAATTTCTTTAACAGCCCCAAAGCATCAAACCCTAAAGCCATGCTTTATTGAAGCACAAGTTTTGCATTCTACAAGATCACATATACTGGTATAGACCTAGTAGTTAACTCACTCAGATAGAAAGACTAATATTGGCCTATGTACATGTAACAACAAGCAAGTAGAGAGTACGTATGCAATGCATTGTGTAGAAAAATGAGACAACAACTGATCGAAACCCCATTACAACATGCAAAACAGAGGGTTATATGTATGTATGAAATAATATGGTTGGAGGACCTTTGCAATGATGTCCTGGGCGTCCACGTGGCGACGGACAGAATCCCTGGACTCGATGAGACTGGACGGCTTCTCCTGCTGCTCCAGCTGCCCTCTGACGTGTTCGTAGCCGTCCAGACGGTTCAGTAGCTGGATCAGATGCTTCTCCACCACCTGGAATTGAGGCAGCGTAACATACATACGTATAGCTACATATAGAGCAATATCCCGTGTTCTTTATTATGTACATATGTATATACCCAGCATTGCCAGTAGATGCTCAATTATCGAGACGGTAGGTTTAGATATAGTTTTAGAATGCTTAAAGGAATGAGATTTGCTGTGTGGAGAGCCGAGCATGTGGCTAATACTGCCTGGATTTTAGTGTGTGGCGTTGCATGTAGCATAGTCTTGTGCTCCACATACTGTAAAACCTTACGTGCAGCTACCAGCCTTGTGTGTGACAACACTTTACTCTTCTCAACACTCGTCTCTTTTGAGACTGATGACTGACTGTCTGAGAAATCTCCACATGCATACACCGTTTTATGTTATACTACGTAAGTTCAGAGTCTACAATGTCAATCGTATAACATCTCTGTGCATCCCGATGGCTTTCTTCCCTACAGCATACATGGGGGCTACTATGACTGCACAGCCACGCCATACCCTCTGTGCATCCCGATGGCTTTCTTCCCTACAGCATACATGGGGGCTACTATGACTGCACAGCCACGCCATACCCTCTGTGCATCCCGATGGCTTTCTTCCCTACAGCATACATGTGGCCTACTATGACTGCACAGCCACGCCATACCCTCTGTGTGTCAATCCACTCCTGGTGGTTGAATCTGATGGTCCCTCCGAGGTCAGAGGTCACCTGGGACACCTGAAGGTGTTGGAAGAGCTCTCCGGAATTCTCCAACATTATCACCTGGTCCAGGATGAGAGGGGCAGGACAGAGAGGGAGGGAGGGATAAGGAATGTGAGGAGGAGAGAAGAGGGAGGGAAAGGGGAGGAGAAAGAGATGTTGAATCTAATTGCTGTACCATCTCACACATTATACATGAGTGGAGCAAGAGTCGTCCTTTTCCATATGTATAATAATTTGCAGATTATAGTGCTGCCCATACTGTAATGCACTAAAATATGCGTGAAACTTATATATGTAGCATTTGTGTTAGTTTGCCAATCTGAAAGCTTTTCCACATAGCATCATGCATGGAAACAATTGAAATAAAGAGAGAAGGGACAGTCCTATAAACTGGCATCATGCATGGAAACAATTGAAACAAAGAGAGAAGGGACAGTCCTATAAACTGGCATCATGCATGGAAACAATTGAAACAAAGAGAGAAGGGACAGTCCTATAAACTCACAGGAAAACCGTATTTTCCCTTCTTGAGAGAGACGTTCACTCCGGTCTTCTGTCTCTGCCAGAACGACCTCGGTTTGACGATGAGTAGCTGGTGGATATGCTCCACAAACGTCAGTTGGAGACTCTTGATGGCATGTTTGGTGACAGTCCACGAGACGTGCTGGGCATCCAGGATTACTGTGAACCCTTGACCTTGGACTGCCTCACTGGGAGGGAGAGGGGAGGAGGGGAGGAGAGGGGAGGGAGGAGGAGAGGGGGAGGGGGGGGAGAGAGGGAGGAGGAGGGGAGGGGAGGGGGGTGAGAGGGAGGAGAGGGAGGAGGGGAGGAGAGAGAGGGGGAGGAAGGGAGAAGGTGAAGAGAAATGAGAGAAAAGAAAGGGGAGGGTTAAAAGAAGGGAAGAGGGAGAATGTAATTTGTGTTGTGCATGTTAGTGGCGAGACCTCCACATTGTCATAATGTGTTCATGATTCATAATTATACAGAGAATAGATTATTATGATGGAGAGAGACGAGAGAGAGTGAGATGATTTAGGGAGAGCATAGGACAAGTACAGTATTACAAGGTACCGTGTGAAGCTGCGTACACACAAATTAAACCGAATGTTTGAAGTGCCAGCGAATGTACCATGGAATGCAAGAACATTCCAATGGCAGTAAATTTATACATGACGACCTTATACGCAGATGTGTTATATGCATACAGTATGTACGTAGGTATGTAGCTAAGCACATACAGTATATAGCTATATGTACACAAGCTTGCATTGGTTACCATATATAGACCTATACATGTTCCAAGCCCTTCATTAGGCACCATGTCAAGAAAATGTAGTTAGACTCAAAACAGATGACGTCACAAACACACACAAAAGCACTTAGCCAACCGATGACTACCTACTTCGTGCATTACTTGATCGATACTTGCCTACTAAAGGGTTGTTACTTGATCGATACTTGCCTACTAAAGGGTTATTACTTGATCGATACTTGCCTACTAAAGGGTTGTTACTTGATCGATACTTGCCTACTAAAGGGTTGTTACTTGATCCTGATCGATACTAAAGGGTTGTTACTACTAAAGTGTATTACTCGATTGATTGGTGCCTACTTGGTGTGTTTACAGATGTTTTTGTTAACTAGGAAACCCCTGAAATGAGGACATTTTGTAAAGACACCATTTTCCAGTTCTTCTATGCCCCTGAAAAAAGATCACCCCACTAATAGGCACTCACATTAGTGTCTGGATTAGAGGAGTTTAACTGCAGTTCTCACACAAGAGTATGCACAATAACTGCACTTGCATGTCTCAACAACTTGGTAGCGAGGTAGACAGGCAAGGCAAGGCAAGGCAAACAAGTCAACTACACCCAGGACAGCTCTTTCTTTTCAAAGAAAGAAAAGAAGAAGAGCTGCCCTGGGTGGGATTCGAACCCACGACACTCTGCAGTCTAGGTGAACGCTCTACCAACTGAGTGATACGATGAGGTCCCAGGCAGAGCCTCAAACTTCATGGACCCACCGTTATTTGTACACACTTTATGGGACAAATGCTAAGGCGAAGAGAGTTCCAGGAAGTGTGGCAAGTATTACATACAATAAATGGTGTATAAGTGCACAGTACGGATAAGTTACACAAACTACTGAGAATTTGTGGACTGGTTACGGGTAACCAGTTAGAGGCAAAGACAAGGCATAAACAACACAGGACAAGAGTGCCCCCCCAGAGCTACCATAGTGGAGGCGGCATTAAAAACTCACTCGGGGACTTTGCTGAGGTAGGACAGAATCTTGCCCAGGTTGAAAGGTCGAAGGTCAGCCGCCTCGGTGGCATACAGGGTTATGATTGGTCCACCTCTCCTGTCCCTCCCTCCTACAGATATGTACACACGTAGGTCACATGATTGTCACACATATGTTACACCGCACAACCAATGTCTCAACAGTACAGTGGACCCTCCGAACAAGGGACACTATGAGGCCAACGATATTGTCCTTTTTGAGAAGTCATCCCTATCTCGGAGGTCAAATAATACACTAAAGTATTAGCATGGGGTTGAAACAAGTGTCCTTTGTAGAGAGATCGTCCCTATCTTGGAGGGTCCCTTATCAGAGGTTCCTCTGTATATCGTACACACTGCACATCATACTCTATGTATGTATCAAGGGCACATCATAGGGGGCACATAGTGTGATAGCACAGAATGAGAACAGAAACGTTTTATATCCTTGATCCTGTACCAACATACACATATTAGGCATTATAGAGGAGTTAGAGGTTGTCATATGGAAAGGTCAAAAGCAAGTGACACTCACAGTATAATATGTACATGTGACAAGAACAGTAGAAGGGCAAAGGCAAAGCTAACAAGTCAATTACACACAATAGTCAACTGTACAACAGGTTTGAGTGTAGGTACATACGTACGTGGGTGGCCCCTTAACACGCGTGATACATGCACACACACACACATCATACACCAGACACACACACCCTCCCCCACAACTGCAAAGCTTTTAGTCCAGTCAGAGTGCTCCCTGGAGTATTAGCTGTGGAAGTTGTGCGGGCCGTCACAGGCGTGCACAGGAGATGCTAGGCACAAACACTTATGGAAACTACAAGAGCTCACAGGAGTTGCAAGAGCTGTGGAAATGGAACACGCAAGAGAAGTCGGTACAGGGAGGTGCAAAGGTTATGGTAAGGGGAGGTGAAAGAGTTGTGAGCAAGTTAGAGAGGAGAGGGTGGGTATGGACATGCAATTGCAGTCGGTACAGGGAGGTGCAAAAACTGTGGATATGGGGAGATGCAAGAGCTGGTGGGATGGGAGGTGAGAGAGCGTGTGGGTATGGGAGATGCAATAGCTGGTAGGATGGGAGGGGAGAGAGCATGTGGGTATGGGGAGATGCAATAGCTGGTGGCATGGGAGGTGAGAGAGCGTCTGGGTATGGGGAGATGCAATAGCTGGTGGCATGGGAGGTGAGAGAGCGCTGTGGGTATGGGAGATGCAATAGCTGGTAGGATGGGAGGGGAAGAGAGCTGTGTGGGGTATGGGAGAATGCCAAGAGTTGGGTGGGATTGTGAGAGAGCGTGTGGGTATGGGGGAGATGAAATAGATGGTAGGATGGGAGGGCGAGAGAGCGTGTGTATGGGGAGATGCAATATATGGTGGAATGGAGGTGAGAGAGCGTGTGGTATGGGGAGATGAAATAGCTGGTAGGATGGGAGGGGAGAGAGCGTGTGGGATGGGGCGATGAAAGGTTGGTGGTTGGGAGGGAAGAGGAGTGTGTGGGTATGGGGAGATGAAATAGTTTAGGTAGGATTGGGAGGTGAGAGAGAGTGTGGGTATGGGAGAATGCAATAGCTGGGAGGATGGGAGGGGGAGAGAGCGTGTGGGTATGGGGAGAAATGCAAGAATTGTGGGCATGGGAAGTGCAAAACCAGAGTAATACGACACCAAAGTGCTTGCCCACGCCCAGGATCTGTCACTTGCTGCTAAAGATGTATCAGGTAAGTATGCTTTGCGATGGCTTGTCTGTGCCAGGGGGATGCTCTGTATATACAACTGTCATCTCCCACACAGGAACAAACAAACATCCTATCAGGAAACCATGCATCGCCATCTCCTCCTACATACATTTGACATAGTGAAAAAACTTCCTTATGATACATGAATTATGTGTGTACATTAATATGTGTACGCATGTGTTCTTGACTCAGCTGATATCTGATGCAAATGATTTGATCGTTCGATTCACTCTCACACACAGTGAGCTTGAAGAGAGGTCACGAACAATTACATAAGACGTCGTAACTCTACGTGAAGTTTTGTTGAGCTCCAGTGAGCACCACTGTGGCATTTATGTAATTACTCCATGCATGCTTGAATTGTACTCTATCACTATGTTATGTACACCAATGGCCAACATCATACAGTTCCTCATAGGAGTGCGTGTGCCACTGGCATCTAGCCTGGCAATTCTACGGATCCATGAGACATGTGCACACCCACGTACGTTGTACTCATTGCCTAGAATGCATGGAGTTGCCCACGAATTCATACATGGAGCATTTAGTACGTACGTATGTCCAAATGGTGACAATATGTTATGACATGTGTGATGTACGAAGCATTGCGTCTCGTGAGACGGCTCAGTTAGGATGCGATTTTAATAATATTCCTCCTCCTCTACCACATGTGTGACCTAGATATTGGCCATATAATTACTCACCTCACAGCAGATGCACACGCGTTATGCGTGTGTCATACATACTTGATACTCGTAGTACGTACAGGTGATGGCATTATGTATTCAAAAGGTTTAGCGACATGCAGTGATAGCTCACGAGTATTACGTCTGAGTGCGTACTCACGCCACATAGTTCTCAGAGCACGGTGTGAAATTCTGTAGTCTTGATGTATTGCACGCCCACTAGTCGTTTATCTTAATTACTTTACTTCCCATGCCTTCTCGAGTCTTATCCGTTTTTTTTACACAAATGATCTATGAACTCCGTACAATACTGACAAGTTTGTATTACTCTGAGATGATCCGTGAACTCCGTACATACTGACAAGTTGTATTACTCTGAGAATGATCCGTGAACTCCGTACAATACTGACAAGTTTGTATTACTCTGAGAATGATCCGTGAACTCCGTACAATACTGACAAGTTTGTATTACTCTGAGAATGATCCGTGAACTCCGTACAATACTGACAAGTTTGTATTACTCTGAGAATGATCGTGAACTCCGTACAATACTGACAAGTTTGTATTACTCTGAGAATGATCCGTGACTCCGTACAATACTGAAAGTTGTATTACTCTGAGAATGATCCATGAACCTCCGTACAATACTGACAAGTTTGTATTACTCTGAGCAATGACCTGAACTCGTACAATCTGACAAGTTTG